GAATTGAAATATCTTCATCATCTATTAAATTATTTTATAGTATAGTATATATCTATTATATTGTTGAATCTGTATCTGGATTCTGTCTTCCACTAATCTACTTTTCTCATGCCAGTATTATACTGATATAATTATAGTGATTTTACAGTATGATCTGACATCTGGTAAGGCAAGTTTCCCCTCACTTTTTTATTTCCCCCAAAAGATCTTGTCACTCCCCCAGTCATATATACTTAACATCATATTATATAAAGAACAAGCATATATCAAAGTTAAATCAATTAAGATAATTCCTGGAAGTACATTAAATTTGTGGAGAACTGACCTTTTTTTATAATATTAATTTGTACTACACCAAAACAAATGTTTTCTCTTCTGTTTGATTTTGTATGTCCTTTAATAAAATTATAAAGTTGTTTTTTTTTTTAATTTGAAACTGTGCCTTTCTTGTTAAACTTACTACTAAATATTCTATATAGTGTTAGGTACTTTTTTGAGAATGGATTTTTTTTCATATTTCCCTTTCCAAGTATTTACTTGAGTATATTTTTTTAAATTCTTATCTAACCATCTTATTGTATCATCTTATTAATTCTACAAGTCTTTTGGTCAAATCATCACAAGAAGAATATTTTAACTAGTTTCTTACTTCTATATGCCAGAACTTCCAAAAATACTGATTGTAATATTTATAGAAGCTAATCCATATTTACATCAGATTTTGACTTAAATTGTTGTAAGTATTTCACCTTTTGGGAACATAATTGCTGTTTGTCCTTGATAATAGGTTATTTTACATTTAAGTAGTTTACTTATATTCCTGTTTAACATAGAGATTTTAATAAGAATAGCTAGCTGATTATAGTCATGCTTATCAATCTGCCATTGATTGGCTGTCTGACCTGGAGGCATCTCTGTATTCTTTAGGTATTATTAGGTATTATTCTTTTAATTAGGCCATAGGTATTATTCTTTTAACTAAATGATACATGAATTAGATATGCTAGTATTTCCTTTTGAATTTTGCATTTATATTCTTCAGTGAGGTTAGACTTTTTCTTTTTTCTTTTATACTACCTCTAGCAGGATTAAGTATAAAACTATGCTAGATTCAATATAAAGTGAACTGAAAAAGTTTTACATACTTACCATGATCAAGAATAGCATAAAAGACAATGCTCTTCCCTATTTTTTAAGAGCTCGGCAACAATTACAAATCTAGTCATGGTGCATTGTTCTATGTACTCTAATTACCTTTCTTATTTCTTTTCTGATAATGGCCTATTAAAGTTTTATAATTATTCAGTCAATTTTAATAATATATATTTCCTAAGACATTATTCATTTCATTGAGGTTTCACATGTTACCACAGAATTATGGTTGCATTATCTTATGATTAACTTATCTTGTGTCTATAGTTGGTGTCCTCTTCAATCTTAATCATATGTTTTTGATCATTTTTTTTCCCCTTAATAATGAGGCTGTAAAGGAATTTTGCTATTTTCAAAGAATGATCATTTGGAATTTCTTTATTCTTTCTTTCCAGTTTCTTTGATTCTGGCTTTTATCTATATTAATTCCTTCTTCTTGCCTTATTTTGATTATTCTATTGTTCCTTAACTAATTTATTATACTTGGCAAAGAATTATCTTACTGATGAACTAAAAAAGTTTCAATAAGATTTGAGTCAAGGTAGTACAAAACTTAATAAAATGAGGTTATTAGGCTTGAAAAAGAACAAAGCCAAAGGAATCATCATCTCATATTTCAAGATATAGTACAAAGCCATAGTAATAAAAAGAGTATGGTACTGGCACAAAAATAGACACATATAGCTCATTGGAACAGAACAGAGACTCCAGAAATAAACCCATGATTATCTGGTCAATTATCTATCACAAAGGAGGTAAGAAATACACCATGAGGGAAAGACAGTCTTTTCAATAAATGGTATTGGGAAAACTGGACAGCTGTGTGCCAAAAATGAAACTGGACCACTACCCACAAAAATAAATTCAAAGTGGATTAAAGACCTAAATGTGAGACCTAAAACCATAAGACTCCTAAAAGAAAACAAAGGCAGGAATCTCTTAGACATTCACCTTAGCAACATATTTATTATGGATATGTCTCCTCAGGCAAGGGAAACAAAAGCAAAAATAAACTATTGGGACTGCACCAAAAAGATAAGAACTAAAAGCTTTTGCCAGCAAAGGAATTCACCAACAAAACAAAAAGGCAACCTCCTGAATGAAAGAGGACATTTGCAAATGATATATCCAATAAGGGGTTTATATCTAAAATACATAAAGTACTTATAAAACTCAACACCAAAAAAACAAACAATCCAATTTAAAAATGGGCAGAGGACCTGAAAAGATATTTTTCTACAGAAGACATACAGAGGGCTGACAGGCACATGAAAAGGTGTTCAACATCACTAATCATCAGAGAAATGAAAATCAAAACCACAATGAGATATCACCTCACAGAAGTCAGAACAGCTAGTATCAAAATGACAAAAAATAATAAGTGTGGGGAGGATGTGGAGAAAGAGAATGCTCCTGTACTGTTGGTGGGAATGTAAATTGTTGCAACCACTGTGGAAAACAGTATGCAGTTCCTCAAAAACAAAAATAGAAATATCATACAATCTAGTAATTCCATGGCTGAGTATTTACTCAGAACGAAAACTAATCTCAAAAGATATATGCACCTCTATGTTTACTGCATTATTTACAATAGCAAAGATATGGAAGCAACCCAAGTGTCCACTGATAGATGAATAAAGATATACATACAATGGAATATTACTCAGCCATAAAAAAGAATGAAATCTTGCCATTTGTGACAACATGGATGGAACTACAGGGTATTAATGCCAAGTGAAATAAGTGAGACAGATAAAGACAAATATCATATGATTTCATTTATGTGAGGAATCTGAAAGTTAAAAAAAAATGAACAAACAAAAACAGACTCTTAAAAACAAAGAACAAACTAGTGGTTGCCAGAGGAAAGATGGGTGGGAGGACGGGTGATGTAGGTGAAGGGGACTAAGAGGTACAAACTTTCAGTTATAAAATAAATAAGTGCTAGAGATGAAAAGTAGAGCATAGGGAATAGAGTCAATAATATTGTAATAATGCTGTATTGTGACAGATGTTGACTATACTTAACCATGGTAAGCACTGAGTAATGTGTAGAAATGTTGTATACACCTGAAGACTATAAAACATAGTATGTCACCTACACTTCAATTAAAAAAATACTATTATTAGGTGATGGGGAGAATACATGTCCCAGCTTTATCTCTATTTAGTCATATATGTCTTTTAGCAAATCATTTAACCTAAGCTCATGGTTTCTACAACTCTAAACTGAAGAGAGAATACACTCTCAAGATTCCTGTTAGTCAACAAATTACACCTGATAAAATTGATAAAATTTTAAGTTCCTTCTGAGAAAAGGACTCTATTTGAAGGAATAAGAGACCTTGGAAAAACTGAACTGGAACTCATTGCCTTTAGAAATAATAATATCCAGGGCGCCTGGGTGGCTCAGTTGGTTGAGCGACTGCCTTTGGCTCAGGTCATGATCGTGGAGTCCCTGGGATCGAGTCCCACATCGGGCTCCCTGCTCAGCAGGGAGTCTGCTTCTCCCTCTGACCCTCTTCCCTCTTGTGCTTTCTATCTCTCATTCTCTCTCTCTCAAATAAATAAATAAAATCTTTAAAAAAAGAAATAATAATATCTAAGAAAATCCAGTTTTTCTGTGATAGTGAAATATAATGGAGACTTATACTCATTCTATGAACACTCAGATCATAATCAGGTGAACTCCTAAGGTGTTTCACAAATATGAATGCCCTAGTAGTACAAGAGTTTCTTAAAGAAGATGCATCTTAGTTACATTGCAGAATGACAGAGACAGGTTTAAAAAAAAAAAAAGGTATCACATCATTATACCATATCCTCATATTTTTCTTAGAATAACCTGGGGTCAAATGGATTTCAGGCATTCCCACTGAACCCTCTGATGTTGCAAACAAAAATCTAGGTGTGTTTAGTTAATTTTTATTGGGAGAATTAATCACACTGATAGATTTGCAAAGAGTTTGGGCCCTGAGAGGTTGAAAAAGACTATTCTAGATTAGTAATTCAACTTCTTATCTGTCTGTGATTAAACTTTTCCATGGTCATACTTTTGCTACTTCACCAAAAAGACCTTTGCACTATTGGACAGTTAACAACTAGCAAAAAACTCTGGCTTTCGTCAAGTCAAAATCTGCCTCTAAAATTCTCATCTATTTTCTTGGTTTCAGTCTCTGAAGCATGAGAGAACAATTCCTTTTTCCTGAAAATAGCCCTTTACATATTTGTAGGTAGTCAACTTAGCTGCAAGACATTTTCCTTTTTCAGAATAACTTTTAAGTAACATAGCATAATTCACTAATCCAAAATTTTCTCTAAAGGAAAATGATTGAACAACTCATGAAGACAATAATTTATGTTTTTAAAAAGCTCCACAGTGAAAGCTCACCTAATTCTTGACTGAGGGATAGATTGCTCTAAACTTGTGAATTTCAAAAAGAATTCAGACACAAGAACTGCATTACATTGATGTATGTGAACTAATGAATTCTGCAGAATTCTCACATACTTATTTACTTCAGTAAATTCTTAGAAACTGTAACTCATAAATTCTTTAAAAATTATTTCTTAAACCATTGTCAAAATATTACTAATGGATGGATTTCAACCCATCTTCAAATTTTAGCCATAAGTCATTTTTGTATTTATTTTTATGATTCAGAAAGGATAAAGGCAGTAATATCATTTTAAGTGGTACTAAAAACAATATTTACATTAATTCTTTCAGCGGGAAAAAGGGAGAAAATATTAACAGAGTGAAGTATAACAACATACAAGGGAGAACAAATTCCAAAATGGTAAACCGAGCTCTAAAAATTCAATAACTATACAAGAGAATTACTTACGGATACAATTCTGAAAGCTGTTCGGCTATTGCATAAGCTGTTGGGTCTCTGTCTAAGGCATACAGAGTAATATCTGACTCCTTCTGTAGAATGGCTCTTGTATGTCCTCCTGAACCAAATGTCATATCTAGAAAAGTCTAGCCAACACACACAAAAAAAAGAAAATTACTACCTAGCATGAACAAAACATTCTTGCTAGCTACCTTAATTTCTAGAAGCACATATTGATTTTCAGAGCTGATAGCAATTGGAAAAACAATTAAAATTGTTTGCCTAGAGTTCAATTTGTTATATCTGTTATACATGAGACCTGGATCAATTATGAGTGACCAGCCTGAAAGAAATGGTCAGAGTATCAGTAAAATGATAATCTCTGGCACAGGCTGGTCAATTCAAGACAAATTTACATTTTCCTCCAAAGGTCAAACTGGCCACAGTGTTATGCTGCTAGCTTTTTTAATGCTTTCCAGCACCTGGCTGATGACAGTATTTCCAACAATTTCTCATTATTTGGAGATAGCTTATAATTAGTATGGCTCACTTTATCTCGATTTCTCTAAATGCTTTATATGACACATGAAGATATTCAAGAATACAAAGAAAGAATGAGAGAGAGAGAGGGAGAGAGACAGAGGGAAAAAGAATGAATATACCTAACAATAAATAGTCACAGGACAAATCCTTAAAAATCTAAACTGGAAAAGGCTCAAGGCTTAAGTCAAAACAACTAGGGTAAATTCCAGGTTTGTCACAAAGTAGCTATATATCTTTGGGAAAGACACTTAAAATTCCAGCGTTTTTAGGTTTCCCAGGCTTTGAAAAGAAAAAGAAAGTCAGAAGAAAAGAAGATACCATCAATATCTACCTAATTGGTAACGTGACATATAATTACTCATCTAAACCAAGACACTTCTGAGAGTATAACATCTGCCAGTAATAATTTTGCCAGGACAACAGGTTATGATGTACAGAGGTGGCTATTTTTCATGTTTAGATCATTCTAGAAGTAAAGCTAATTGGATTTGAATCTACTTCTTGGCTCTTTTATTGGGCCACACTATAAAGAAAATAGGTCTCAGTTGGGCAAGAAACCAGACCTGGACCATTAGAAACATATTTGTGAAAAAGTTAATTGATGTGGTTGATTTGGAAGTCAAGACACTCTCAGTGTAGATTAATGTGTCCTTTCAATAAGCTTCACTGGTTTTATGAAAATAAAAAAAATCATTCCAATAATATTGAATACCATGAAAAATAACATATACTATAGATCAAACTATTAAAAATATTTAAACATATAACTTTTTTAAAGTTAATGTGTACATTGTACAAGAAGACAAATTCCTGAAATGGATTTGAACATTTCCCTGCCCTGAAGGCTACAACTTATTTCCAGGAGAGTGGTCAGAAACAAGACACAAGTATGCTTTGATTTTTTGCTACCAGCTACCATGCTGAGTCCCATCCTCTGATCAAGTCCTCAAAAAAGTTAGCCTGCTATTTGAAGAATAACATGGAGGAAATCTTCTGATCAAAAATGAAAAGAGGAGGGATATAAATTATGAGAGAGATGTAAATGTGGTAAAAACATGCAAGCACTGCTTTTTAACACGTATGTTAATACAACTCAAGCTTGCACTTCTGTCACTGTCAGCACAAAAGACATGGCTATACACTCTTTTCAACACTATAAATGGTAATGTTAAAACACTTGAATTTCTTATTATTTTTCTTTTTAAGTAGCCCATCGTGAGGCTCGAACTCATGACCCCCAGATCACAACCTGAACTGAGATCGAGTCAGACACTTAACCAACTGAGCCACCCAGGTGCCCATTCATATTATTTGCATGGTTATTAGGAGTACGTACTTATAATCTCAAGATCAAATAATTTCCTTTCTCAGTCTGTATACTTATTTTATGTATCTATGAGTAGGTAAAAATCTCCCACCTTACCATACCTCAGTTTTAAAATTGCTAGGGGTTTAGCATAATCTAAACAAAGAACTTCTCCAAGGCAAAAGTATAAATTACTTTCTTGTTATGCCCCAATATCAAGTCTTGCTATAATCCTACACTTAAACTATGAGAATAGCAAATAAAACAATTTGCATATAATTACCTTATCCCAAGCCAGGAAAGTCCCAATCAATAATTAAAAAGAAAAAAACCTCATCATTAAAAATATTCTGGAAAATGTAAGATGATGATTATAATTTACATGATTATTTTTTAATATATCATGATTATGCCCTTGGAGATGTACTGACAATCAAGGAAGTTTCCATAGGAAAAAAAAAAAAATATTACCAGTCAAGTGTAACACAAAGCAAAGTGGGAGACATGGGATTTATAATACTACAAATGAACCCCACCATATGTCCTATGTTAATAGGTTATTGAAGCCATCAACTAGAATTTTGAAAATTCTAATATACATTGCTCATCAATGTAGGCCTTGTGAATCAACCAGCACTACAATTGAAAAGGGAGCCAATTAGTCTCTCCCTTCTTAACTTGCTATAAGACCATTATATCAAGGGTCATTAACTTGATATAAGACCAGATTTTTAAATTTGTACAAGCTGACGATAAAATAAGACTGAATAAATGCACAAGAACAAATAAATCTGAGTGTCACAAAACAATGCTTCTATGGGTCTCATCTGCATGTATGTGTGTGTATTCATATGTATATGTTATGTTCCAAACATACACAGAACTCTCTCTTTAAAATTACCTGATATAATTTATCTAAAACATGAAACCCATATTTGATACCAAGAATTTATTCTGACAATGTCACTTCTCACCTGTATAATCCTGACCAAATTATTTTAACTCTCTGAGCCTCAACTGTTTCATCTAAGAAAAGGGGATAAAATGTACCCGTTTACTTCACAGAGATATATAAAAATTAACTTATTTCTTCCTTACAACCACAAAGTAGGTGTTATCAGATTTATACATATACAGAAACAAAAATTACACTAAGCTAGAAAGTGGCAAATGCAGGAACTGAATGAATACAGATATACCTGGCTCTCTTCTGCATTAAATCAACAAAGTCTGTATTAGTCCAGTACCTTATAGTTTATCGAGCATTAACGTTTTTCGTACTTGGGCTAACAAAAGTTCTCAAGTATGGACAAGTGGCATTATCCCCATTTTTTGTAAGTACAAAACTCAGGTGCAGAGAAATAAGGTGACTTGATTAAGATCCTATTACTAGCAAGTGAGGGAAAGAGAACTCTAAACCATGTGTCACCAACTCTAAATTTTGTGCCTTTTCTGAAAGAAATAAAAAGAGAAGGGAAGAGTGAGCAAAAGAAAGAAATAAAAAAGTGGATGGCATAGAAAGAATCATGGCAGAAATAGCTTTACAAAAATTATACAAGAAAACTTCAGTTTTTTTATAGACTACTCATTCCCACTGGAATTTAGGCTCTCAGAAACCACGTCTTAATCTTTGTGTAGCAGGACAACTCGAGATATGTGTTTCTCTCTTTTTTTCTTTCTTTCCTCCCTCCTTCTTTTTCAAGCAGGAGCCTAGATATTTAGAGCTTTAAAATATATGTTCCTTGAGGATTTTTGCATGACACAAAGAAAAAAAGTATCTTTCCTATCATCTGGAGACAAATACTTTTCTATCAGTTAATATTAAAGAAAAAAAAAAAAAGCTCAGAAAGAATGCTAGTTATCCTGGGTAGGTTAGTGTCTTTAAGGAAAAGAGAGATAGATCTCACTGAAATTGGGTGGAAGAGAGATGGGAATGATGAACAAATTCCAAGAAGGTACAGAACTAATGAAATGACTGACAGATGATAAGATCTCAAAGCAGCTGTCTGTATGAGGAACTGAAGGAGGGTGGACCCTCAACACAGGGTTCCCAGTGCTACCAAGAGATTTCCATACCCCTCTTTGGCACAGAAGAAGCAGAACTTTTGGTCCTAGAGGGCCTTTATTACAACAAAAGGCATCTCAGGGTGAACTAAGGGTGGTATGAGATGAGTAATACCTCAGGGCCTCTGCATAGCTCATGTGTGGTAGGGGAATGACTGAAATTGATGGTTTCTCAGCACAGGGGCTCAGAATCAAAATAAAAGTGACTTAACGAAAAAATATACATTTGAGGGAAGATTCATAACTACAATTCTCCAACTCTGCCCCCACCTTAACAGCATCAGTGCACAGTAGATGCTTAGTAAATATTTAGTGATGTGATGTGAAAACACAGCTCAGCTTCCCAAGGTAACTATGATAAAGATAGCAATACTCATTTGTGCACATGAATTTAGAAAATACTCCTCAAGATACAAGACTCATTATCATAAGACCACATAAAATAGTCACAGCATATCCAACTTTTAGGAGTCGTTTAACATCAATATATTCCTAATATTACAAGTTGTTTCATTAATGAAAAGAACCTTTTCAGAACATTAATGATGATCTGATATTAATAGTATTATGTAACTCTAATGCACCATGTTCTTATTTGTTGATCAGAATCCTTTACATTTGAAATAAGAAAATGAACATTTCTTATTTTAGGTAGCTCTTTTAATCAAATACAGCTAATTGACATTTTATCCCCATGGTCTTCTAAATATAGAAATGATTAGGTACCTTGTACCATGCTGAGTCACACTTGCATAGTTGAGCTACAGCTGTGAATCTGACAATGAACAGGGTTCAGATGCAGAATTTCAGAGCTTCGAGGGACATAACACACTATTTATTCCACGTCCTCATTTTACTTATGAGGAGACCAAGGCCCAAAAAGGTAGCCAGTTGAGGGCAGAGCTAATACTAAAACATAAATCCTATGTTCTTTCTACTTCATCTCATAATATTCCTCCACTGAAATTATATAATCACACTGAAATAAACAATCATTCTTTGAAAAAGTTTTTTTTTTCCTTAATGAAAATAGATATATATGTGGGAACTTTGCACCTTAAGCCTCCAACACTGCCCTACCATTGAAAACAATCACTGCCCTACCATTTTAAATTGTTTTAGGACCTTATGGTGATGAATCTGTTGGCTTCAATTCCAAAGACAATTATGTTGTATATGTGGCCTCAGATAAATATCCACCCATTATGTATAACAGCAACTGGTGATGACTGA